TTCCTGACAACAAGACCAAGTTGTGACAACAAGGTCAACCCACTTCTATAAATCTAAATCACAACATCTTGATCTTCATATCTTCAAAGTTATGCTGCTTTGGCGGTAAGTAGATTACTTTACATCTCATCACAGATCACTTCAAAGTTCTATAAGATGTGTTCAGCCTATTTTGTTTAGGGCAATGAAGGACTGGTAGTAGAATGTTCCCACAATGATATGAGTTGAGCTGACGTTTCCATTCAATTTCATAAAGCTTTGCTCTCTTAAAAGGTGTTCTTCTCCCGACTGGAATGGAAGGCCGTTTCGACCTCGCATCGGTCTTATCAACACCCCAAGCAGGAGTCGAACCATGATAGTGCAGCCGGTCAGCTCGACACGTTAACCGCTACACCACATTGGCGTGGTCGACAAGACCGATGCGGGGTCGAAACTGCAGTCCACTTCTGCCCGGATGAGAATCCCATTTGGGAAATCAGGGTTCTGTGAAATTCTGCTATCAGTCCTTCATCACTCTAAACGAAATAGGCTGAACACATCTCCTAGCGTTCCAAAGATGTTCTGCTGTTGGTTTAAGACAATTTTTTAGAAAAATATCATTTTCCAAACATGCTTAGCTCTGAGAACTCTCCAACTATACTTTGCATTAGTTACCAAATAGCTCATGATGAAGATAGCTCTTGAAATGTCACAATCGCTGCAAAGGTTCTGGCAGCTCCATTGTCTTTGTGAACACTCACTTTAGTCCGACTTCCTCATGAAGGAGCATGTGAGTTGACTTTATGTCAAAGCGATGCTCAGTGCAAGCGGTGACCTCGAATGGCCGTTTGGAGCCTGAACCACGCTACGTCGGAAGAGCCACGACGAGCTCCAAACACGTACATGATTAGTCTAAGAGGAATTTCCCATGATCGTCAATGGTGTTCTGGACCAGTCTCCAATCTTAGCGAGTCTGGGGCCTATTCATTTGAGATGTATTCACCCAATTTCGTTTAAGGTGATGAAGGACTGGTAGAAGAAGAATTTTCCCACAATGATAAGATTTGAGATAACGTTTCTATTCTAAAGCTTTGTTCTCCCAAAAGGTGTTCTTCTCCCGACTGGAATGGACGGCCGTTTAGACCTCGCATAAATTTTATCATCACCCTAAGCAGGAGTCGAAGCATGATAGTGCAGCGGGTCAGCTCGACGCGTCAACCACTACACCACATTGGCGTAGTCGACAAGACCGATGCGAGGTCGAAACTGCAGTCCACTTCTGCCCGGATGAGAACCCCATTTGGGAAATCAGGGTTATGTGAAATTCTACTACCAGTCCTTCATCACCTTAAACGAAATAGAATTACTGATTTGCTGTTCGTCTCGCTCACACAAAAAAGAAACAATCCGAAATTCGTCAGTCAGCCAATTGGGAATCCTCTTTTTGTCTGCTGCTGTTGTTCAGCCTCCGTTCGGCTTCGATAAAACTTTCAGATTGAATCAGTCTCGGGTGGAAAGGTACCGAGCTCTTGTCCCTCATACCATGTCACAGACATCCTCATTTGTGCAACAGCTTCACATGGACACTAAGTTAGCAAGACTATCCAGCTCCATTATATATGGTATATATAGTCATAATTAAAAACGGAAATCTATGGATAGATAGAATCTGTTGGCTAGATTCGATGAGTATCTATGAGTCTTTTAGCTTAACGTTAATTGCCGTTGTTCTGAATACATTTGTCTTTCGGCTAGCGTTCATGTTGACACAGTCGACGAGACCTCCCCATTCATTTCCGGTGAAATGAGACATCCTCAGTGCCGGAACTCATTTTTGCAAAACTCCAAGTCAAACAGGGGAAAGCATAAAGAATATGTGCATATAAACTTCTGTTTTCGGGTTTATTCATGGTATATATGATATTTATTTATTCATTTATGGTCGGCTTCGTCTATGGTTGCAAGAGTGGGCTTTGTGAGCCTTCTTGAAATGAGTCGACCTACAAGCCGAAATGTCCCATTCGAGTATGCTTCAACCCGAATAAATTCCGTTGTTGCAGGAAAGCTGAAAAGAATTCATATGAATAGACATATTTTTACTTGAGACTGCACAATCGACAATAGCTCTTGACAAATTGTGCTATTCCAATTTGCAAACTTTGAGTCATTATGCTGATTAGATCATACGCCATTTCAGGCATGTGGAATTCTGGCTCTCGGAGACCTGCATCCTCGTCCGGCTCCCACGGAAGGAGCCAGCAAGCCTGAGCTTGTGACATTCCATTCGTCCGAGATGCATACTTCGAGTCCCGGCTGGGTCTTATCGGCCTTCCAGATGATTTAAGTTTTGTCAGTTACACTTTTCCCACAATCACGTACCCAGGCCCTCCAGTACCGTTGAGTGTGATTTAGACTGAGATTTTTCTTTCCAACTACTGACACTATTACTACTTATATCGTCGTCATCGCTTGAAATGGCAGACAAAAGTTCGCTTAGAAGTGGGTTGAACTGGTTGTGGTAACTTGGTCTTGTTGTCAGGGCAACTTAATAAAACGCCATAGTAGTCGTCATGATTCCCGGCATCAGACAGTGGACTTGGTACTGATGATGCCGACTACGATGCCGGCGAAACGTCTGAGAAGTTACCAAATCATGACAACTACTATACCGTTCTACTAAGTTGCCATGACAACAAGACCAAGTTACGACAACGAGGTCAACCCTTTTCAGAGGCCACACCATCTTGGTCTACATATCTTTAAAAGTTCGCTTACTCTCCAATCACACACTTTCAGTCGTGGCCGTGTGGAAACTCAATCAATTTACTCACGACCTGGACTTGATCACGGCTTGTGTGGATAGCACAATCGAGTCTGGCTGAAATTAACTGTCGGAGAGGCTGTGTGAATGTGCATGGAGAAATGAGAACCATTTTATATGATTGTAGGAAAAAACCCAATTATCCGTTCTTCAATCAGTTCAGGCGACCGAGGCCGACTGAGTTCTTTTTCCTACAATTGCTGATGGCCTCTAATCGTGCATATCTCAAAAGGTGAAAGTTAATGCTTGATCTAATCCACACATTGGCTGAATCGGGGAGTCCATAAAAATGGCTGCTTTCTTTTTGTCCTCGAATTGTCTGGCCATCTTCCGGCATTTGAACTAATCTTTTGCAAGTTGGGCAAGCATTGCCTCTTTAGAATGCAGATGAGAACAGAGGCCTAGACTGAAATGGAGCGAAAAGAATGCCCTTTGTCGAACTGGGATATGACGAGGAGCCGACGAGGCCACACCCATGCCGGGCAGCACCAGAGATGGAATTTGCCCCAACAATTCCACCCAATAAGCTTGGTGCAGAGAAGGCTTGACAACCATGTTGATAGGGGCCAATAAAGCTGCAAATGCAGCGGCACCCAATGAAGCCATTAGTTGTATTTTGGCCTGAAATGCATTTGAAGCGGCTTGACTGGGGCGAGTGTTGCAGAAAAGATTTGATGAAAACATATGAATACGCACATTTATCCTCCAGAGCGCATAGTCGGCAATAAATCTTTGAGATTTCACTACTTTAGCACACAATGTG